GGTCGTTCCTGGTTGAATTCAAAGTGGACCGCCGATACGCTAGCTAGGTCGTCCTGTGGTGGCGTAGTGCCTGGGGGCAGGCTGTAGCCCTCAATGGGCACTGCCGAAACAACGACAGCAAAACACTCCGAGGACAACCGCCACGCGATGCCCGCTGGTTGACCCAGTGAAGTGGTGATAGGACCGGTCTGATTAATTCTCATGTCACATTGTAGTGCGATCCGGTCGAGCTGATAGCGCAGAGTGGCAAAACGTGCGCAAAAAGCGGTCCTCCGCAGACAGGCTGGATAATCTTCAAACTTTGAACGCAGGGATGGTAAGAGGTCGAAGAAGTCCTCCAAGGAATGTTCACGTGCGTCCACAACTGACATCCCCTTGAAAAAAATCTTTAGGTTAAAAATGCTGTAGGCTGGACTTTGAATAAATATTTTCTGCAACCCCTCATAAAATGTCGGACAGAAGCCCTTAAATTTGTTGGCAACTCGTACCATTGAAATTTAGTGAAGCGTTCGTTTTCAAATAAATATGTTTCAACGGCACGTTAGCCTATTCAAAAAGTTAAATTTTCAATCATTTCCGTGTTTTAAAGCTGAAATGACCTCGTTTTGGTCAGAAATGAAAGTTGATTTGGAGTTTATAAGCAATGAATATCCTCATGGGCGTTGGCTATTTCTTTGTAAGAATTGGACGAAACTCTTGAGTGCAGCGCCAAGGAGGCAGGTTGACAAACTTCTAGAATGTACCACGACAAAGATGGTAATCTAAAGCAGCACATAGACGAACAGCCTGATGAGAAGAGTTAACGATATTTCTTCTAAAAGCGAAAGAGCAGAAGAAGAAGAAGAAGAAGAAGGAGAAGAAGAAGAAGAAGAAGAACTCGAACCTCTTAAGCTCCCTGTTAACAGCCACTCAAAGCTGTATGATTTATTAACGATCTAAAAAAACAACCTTCTTCTGCAGCTGATAATAGAAAATTCGATTTATCACATAATTGCAAAGTGAACGGTTGAAACGGCTAAGCGAATTTTAATAGGAAAACGCCGTTATTCCAAGACGTTTTATCATTGCTCACACGTATTTCCCTGATCGAAGAGATTTGGAGTGTGAATCTGATTTTCTAAATTGTCATATACAAACTGCACTTTCCCTACTCGCTTCATTTTCAGTTCAGATTCGATGGTCAATTTTACCACCAGATCGGTAGAGTGGCGATAGGAAAACCCCATGGACACCCTACTAATGGACGTTTTCATGCGAAAACTGAAGAACCGGCTGTTGTGATAAAATATAACCTTGATTTCTATGCTCGAGATGTTGAAGACTCTTTTGTCATAGTGGACAGGAAGTGTCGTAAAGGGAACAAAGTGAATCAGATTCATAAAGACTTAAGTTTTACTTCGGAAAAAGAGAAAGGAGCGCCCTTCCTTTTGGAACACTGTTCTTAGTAGAACACCTGATGGAACAATTCATGGAGAAGGATAGGCTGCCAGTTTAGACTCATTTAATGTGCATCCACACCCTCCCCTACTCTTTTGGAGTAGGTTATATTAGTCGAATGACTGGGCACTTATTCATTCAGATACGAGAGAACGATCCATTTCAGCAAAAAACTTTCAACTCTAGCGCAACCGTGGTTCATCCGTTTGGCAGTGAACACCGCGTAGACGTCAACCATGCACTTCGAGTAATTGCAAAGTTAAGGCGAGAAACTGCACCAGCGGATAATTATGATGGAAGAGGTGTGGCTATACAGTTGGTCAATCTAACCTTGTACCCCCTAATAAAATTGCGCTAGTTTATTTCTCACCGGGACCAAGGCTATTTTCTGAGTACAAAGCTTGGTGCATGATCGGCTAATTCGAAGCACTGGCAGCTAGGCAAAACCATCGCGGCAGCCTTCTCGTAGATTGTATCAGCATTTCTAAAGGTATCATCGACGCGCGAATGCGGTCCGCCGCCCAGAGTCGACTTAGTTAGACGGAATTCAATCTAGGTCGTAAAGTACGCCAGTCTGTGTCCAACGGTCGGCAGTATAACAAAGGCAGAGTTCAAATAATCAAGCAGGCATGCATTCTGAGTGGACTGTCGGGTGGTCAAATATATTGGAAAATGGCCTTAACATTCTCTCTTGCGATAATAGGATTCGCCAAAATGATTAGGCTGCGGGTAGCTGTACATCAAGAATGAATTGTGGACGCGCCCAGAGGAGGGGGCAAGCGAAATGCAATTTTGAGCGTATTGTGTGTCGGTCACAAACTGTCGTAGTCATACAAACGACAGATATAGCAGTATGGGTGCATTAAAGGCGCACTTTCTGATGCATAATCAGATCAGATAATTAATAATTTACTTGTAACTGATCTGAGTTGATAGGTCGATGGTTATTCAGTTGTTCATATAGTGCTATCGGCCCAATATTTAATCATTAATACACATAGATTAT